AAAACCGAGAACCAGAGAAACTCTCCTAGAAGAGAACGGCAAACCATCTTCATACTGCTGCCAAGAAAACTGCAGGAAGGTGCCCATCTGGTCCTTCAGAACAAGTGACAGTTCTCAGAAGCCAAACGTTGGGCCTGGTTCCCACCGGATGGGTGACCAACAGGAGATCCTAGGGCTTTCTCCCCTTGCCCATTTCTAGCAAGCCTCATACCTACCCAAAAGGGCGTGGAACAGTTCGCTTTGGAAGATCCCAAGGAGCTGGTCCATGTCATGTTGGGAATCCGGGTCCAGCAACGTTGGTTGCTTCATGAGCTGCAGGATGGTCGCGGCATCTGGGGTGGAGGGAAAAGGGTGAAGGGCACTGAGAAATGGAGTAGGAGGCCGCGGCCTGTTGCAAAGCGAAGAGGAGAAGGCCTTGAAGGAAGCGTGCAACAGCCGCTACGAAAAGGCTGCTTAGCCCCGGAAGGCAGGAGCGGGTGAGGAAGAAACTCAAGACGGCCTCACCTTGGTCCTCTTGGGTGGGATAGGACGGAGAGAGATCGGACTTTGCAGGCTGGGTCATTGCACCCTATTAAAGCCAGTAGTTCTTACGGAGTCTGTCTCCCTCCCTGCTCGCCTGGACAGCTGCCATGCGCTTGACCGGAGGCTACCATCGAGGTCCACCCTGAGGCTCCCGCTGACCAAGAGCGCCGCAGCCCACTGCCAGCTCCCGATCGGCTCCTGGGTGCAATTCAAGGGACGGTTCTGCCCCTCAAAGGCCTTCGCGGGACCCCCCAGAGCACCTTCCCAGGCAGGACTGACCTGCCCGTCTGGGGGTTCTGGGGCAAGGTGCTGGGGATCCCCCACTCCTGCAAGTTGGGGGGAGGGAGATTCACAGGCGTCCCTCTGCTTTCCTCCCGCCCTGACCGGACGTGCACCGCATTGCTGGCCCTCCAGAACTGATCTGGAGAGCTCACAGAGGACGTCCTGGAATGATTTCTTCTTTCTTCTTTCTCCCCCTCCTTTACTTTCATTATTTTTGTTGCCATGATTTTATTGTTACCTTGGATATTTCATTCATATTGTTGTTTATATTTCTACTTTCTGTCAGTGATACTGGCAGGTGCAAATCAAGTCAAATCAATTATCCACCAATATCTTTTCACGCAGGGCCGGTCAAAGAGGGGAATTTGGGGCTGGCATTTCATCTCCAGGCAGGGCAGCTGAATAAAAGGGGGCTCTCAATGGCTACGAAGACGGGGACTCCGGCCTCCCCCCAAGTCCCGGCAGCTGCCTGCTGGGAAGTGAGAGGGGAAGGGGCTGGTGGGCTTCGCCAAAGCATGCAATGCAGGGCCCCCACGGGGGGTGGTGTCGAAAAAGTCAAAATGGTAGCCATGCGTGCAATTGCACCTGCCATCTGCATTTTTTGACCCCCCTCTACCCCCCCCAGATCCTCTGGTCCATTTGGGCCCTGGGTGACCCAGAAGGCTGGACTAGGTGGGCCCTCAGCCTGATCCAGCCTCAGGGTTCTTCTGAGTTTACGTTTTATTGATGGAAAACCAAGAGTTGGAGGAAGACTGTTGAAAATAGGCATAGAAACAATATTTAGCTGTTCCAGTGTAAAATCTTGGAACTCGTTTTCAGTGTCAAATTTAAGGTCCGACGGGGGGGGGGGGGGA